TCTTTCTTTTCTCTTTTGCCCTTATATTATCTTCCCAATGCCTTTTCCCATCTGTCTTTCTCTTCCATGCTCTTCCATTGTCTTTCTCTTTCTCTTCTTCTCCTCTCTTGCTCCTTGTCTTTAATCACTCTCTCTTTCTCTCACTCATTGGTTTTCTCTTTATATTCTCTCCCCCTCTCTTTCTGTTTGTCTCTCTCCCTGTCTCCCATCTGTCTTTCTCTTCCATTCTCTTTCTCTTTTTCTTTTTCTCACCTCTTTCTCCTTCTCTTTAATTTCTCTCTCTTTTTCTCTTCTTTCTATTGCTATCATATTCTCTCCCCCGTCTTTCTGTTTGTCTCTCTTCCACCCCCTATTTCTGGCTCTCTCTCTCCCTGTCTTTCTTTCTCTTTCTTGCTGCTCTGTTCTCTTTCTCTCCTCCTCTCTTGCTTCTCTGCATTTCTCTTCAATTCTTCTTTCCCTTTACTTTCTCTTGCTGTCTTTTTCTCGTTTCTTACTCTTCATCTTATTTCTCTCCCCCTTTCTGTTTTTTCCTCTCTCACTTCCTCTGTCGCTATCATTGTTGCTCTTTCTCTCTTTTTCTCTCTCCCTCTCTCTAGCTCCCTATATCTCCCTCTCTATCTCTCTCCTTTTGTCTGTTTTTTTCTGTACCTCTTCTGCTCTCGTTGCCTCTCTTACCATCTCCTCGCTTACTATCTCTCTCTCTTTTGCTTCTTCTCTCTCTCTCTCACTGTGTCTCTCTTTTCTCTCTCCCTCGCTCACTTTGTCTCTCTCTCTTTCTTTTTTCTTTCTTTTTGGTGCTGACTTTCTCTTTTGCTATGTCTGTGTCCTCTCTTGCTCTCTCTGTCACTGTCTCGCTCACTCTCTCTTTTCTCTCTCTCTCTCTTTCTATTTCACCACTTCTTTATCCTGTCTTTCTCTTTTTCTGGCTCCCACATTTACCAGCTTTCTTTCTTTCTTTCTTTCTTTCTTTCTTTCTTTCTTTCTTTCTTTCTCTCTCTCTGTCTCTCTCTCTGTCTGTCTGAGGGCAGCAGTAACTGAGGGGGGCAGAGTTGATTAGAGGTGCACCAGTGTGTGAGTGAGTGTGTGTGTGTGTCCATGCGTGTAAGAGGACCTCCTCTGTGTGTGTGTGTGTGTGTGTGTGTGTGTGTGTGTGTGTGTGAGCAGTATGGAGCTGCAGATGTATTCAGTCCCTCGGTGAGAATGTTTCCACAGGGACAAAGACAGCTGTGGTGCAGCATCAGGACCGTTAACGAGCCTTATCACATACACGCGCACACACACACACACACACACACACACACACACACACACACATACACACACACACACACACACACATTCAAATGATAGCATACAGACTAACACTGTATATAATACTGTGAGGACGTCAGAAACCTGTATATATGTATAATTATTAGAAGCGACAACACTGTGTCACTCTTTACCTTTATTCCATTCTTCTCAGGAGCCTCACTTTCAGTTTCTCAAAGAAATCTGCAGACACGCCTCCAAAGTTCAGTATTAGAAGTTGGTTTAGCGTAGAGGTGCTCCGTTCTGGTCCTGGAGATCTTCCTGCAGAGTTTATCTCCAACCCAAATCTAGCACACCTGATCCAGGTAATAAAAGACTTCAGATGCATTTGAAGACAGGTGTGTTGGATTTTAACTCTCCAGGGCGGTAGATCTCCAGGTCCAGGATTGAGCAACCCCGGTTTAGCATTTTCTGCTTCATTCAATCCAAGTAATCCAAACACATTCAGTGGTGTTGAGGTCTGGACTCTGGGGTGGTCAGTCCATCGTTCAGCTTCTTTGTTTGATGTGTCCATCTCCTTTTCTCAGTGAGGTTCTTCTTGACAGCTACACATCCTTTCAGACCCACAGCGCTGAGTCGTCTTCTCACAGTGGAAGGATGGACAGAAACACCTGTGGATGTTTTCAGATCTGAAGCAGCTTGATTTTCTCCTCTCTTCATCTTCTGCATTTGTTCATCTCTCCTTAAACTCTCCTTTAAAGGCTCTTCATATAACATGATCCTCATATGTTTCATATCTAAACGCTCCGTTATCTTCATCACTACTTTCCAAAACCGCTGCAGCAGCTTCAGCAGCTGTAAACTCTCTGCAGGCCATTTCACATGAGTCTCTGATGTGGACTGAATGAAGAATGAAGGGTTTCCGGCGTGATGGTCAGTGCTTAGTGATTTCCTGAGTGTCCATTGGTCAGTTTCACACAGAATGTAGACGGACACACCAATCCACCAGTTCCACACGGTGAGAGGCAGATGACGTGTATCTCAGCCCCTCTTCATAGGCTCATAACTCCGGATGTGAGTCTCGTATGATCTCGTGATAAGATGGAATGGAAAGGGCGACTCTACAGATTCAGGAAGTGTTTGAACTGGATTTCTGTGCTGGATCATCACAAAGATACAGACACACATATAGAAACACTGAACTTGGTGGTTTTGGTGTCTACCAGGTCTTCCAGGTGGTTGCTAGGAGTCCCATTTTCTCCAGTTGTTGGAAACTCCTGTTTTGCTTCACTCTAACTTTGTCCTTTTTTGTGCAAGTGGATTATTTTATATATAATCTTCTCAGATATATATCTTTAAAAATAAATAACATGTATTTAATGTCCTTTTTGGCTGAGGAGTGCTCTCTGACATTTGCAGAGTACATTTTGTTTGTGCCCACAGCTGCCTGAGTATAATTTCACAACCATAAAACACTCACGCACACACACACACACACACATCCAGAAATTCAAAGTAGCAAAACGAAATATTGTCTCTTTTGTTTTATTTTACAGTCACCAGATGAGCAGATACATCATTTAAAAAAAGAAATAAAACTGATATTTGCTCGTCAAAAATTATTATCCAATTTTTCTCCATACAGATCTTTGTACAGAATGAAACAGGTCAAATGTAATAGCATCGTGATTCCGTAATAAAGACGACAGGGGTCCGAGGATTCGCCCACAGCAGACCCATCTTTTATACCCAATAAATATAAACGGTTTAATCATACTGTTGTTAGCCAGGCATAGTGGATAACCAGGGTACGATCTGAATGGATTTCCATAGTCATTTCAGATACATCACTGTGCCACACACACACACACACACACACCCTCATACACACACCCACACACACAAAAAGCTCAACACAGAAGCAGACAAGGGGCCAGGGACCAAATCACAGAGAAACATAAAGAAAGAGCATGAAAGAGAGAAGGCAGATGTAGATAGGCTTCATTGTCCTGGATGGTAGAGAAAAAGAGGGCGAGAGACATAGAGAAACAGACAGAGAGAGAGAGAAATAGGTGGCTATCTGATCGGAGAGCTGCAGAGAGGCACTTGACATTTGGCCTGATTCAAACAGCTTTGCTCTGCTCTGCTCTGATGGAAAAGACTCTTGCTCTCTTCCCTCTCTCTCTCGCTCTCTCTCTCTCCCTCTCTCTCTCTCTCTCTCTCTCTCTCTCTCTCTATCCGAGCTCATTTTTTTCCTCACTGGCAACCTATTGCTCTCCTTTTCAACTCATTCACTTTCCAATCCGCCTCTCTCTGTCAGCCTATCGATCAATCTCCTCTCCGCTCGTCCCTCTTTTTTCTCTCTCGCTCTCTCCCCATCTACTTTTTGCCTCATATCAGAATTGGACTGGATCAGGAGGGGCCAGCGTCCAAACAGAATGAAGGCCGGGGTGGGGGTGGGGGTGTGAAACGACCGCCTTTTTATTTGTTCTTTTTTTTCTACACCATTACAAAACATCCATAAAAAAAAAAAGATGAAAGAGAAGGAAAGATGCACTGTATGTCCAATAGTATCCCCTTCTAATGAGATTTCAGCAATTTTAGGGTCGCAAAAGGTGCTCAATTGAACGCACGTAGCTTGTGTAATCTCCATAGAAAAGCATTGCCGATAGAATGGGATGCTTTGGAGCAGCCACACCTGAGCCTGAGGTCGCCTAAGGTGGGCTAAAGGGGAATAAAGCCCCCCAGCATTGGGCTGTAGAGCAGCAGACCTGCGTTTTCTGGAATGCTTTTGGGATGGTCCAGAAGACGAGCAGGCGTCTACAAGCTTTTGGACATATAGTGGCCAGATCCCGACACTTGGAGGTCTCACTGGATGAGCAAGATTCGAGCTCACATCCGCATCAGTGTTGTGTTGCGTCCCGAAGATGAAAATAAAGCAAAAATAAACACAAATCATCACTCTTGGTGGGCACTTAATTACTTCTATCTCCCCGCCAGCGTAATCACCGGATGAAGAGGATATGATAGGAGCGGAGCCTGCGAAAGGGAGATAGCACCCGTTTTCTATCTGCTGATTGTGCTAATCAGCGTGCAATTCACTAGTGTAAACTTTGAAGGCGGCGCGTCGTAGCTGTTCTCCGAAGCCGGCCTGGATGAGTCGTGTCGTCTTTTGGCAATGCTAGCTACACCCAAATTACTTTATTACACTGGTACAACATTAAGTCATTAAAGTTCTATTCCCCAAATTCCAGCTCTTGTATTAAATTAGGATTGATAGTGCACAGTTAATGAGGGCTAACGAGGCTTCAGGATTGATAAATCAGCATTGATTATCTAAAGTAACACTGCATAGTCTAATGATAATGCAATATGCTAATGTAGCTGAACAGGGAGGGTTGAGCTCCCGAGGTTGCCACAGTGCGGTCGGCCTCGCTCAGGAAGCGTGCTAGCCTCGGATCGTTCCTTATCTCATTACAGGGAAAGCTACATAAATCCACAGAATGGGGAGAAAGGGCCACGGTGGGAATATTTGCATTATGCTCTACCTCTCTCGCCCTTTCCTCCCGCTTTCTCTCTCCCTCCCTGCTCACCATCGTCATCTCCCCATTTGCTGCAGAGTGACTTTAATCATCACTGTAGCCAAAACACATTAAACTGGCGTGTCTGGGTAAAGGAAAAAAAAAAACGTGCGCCCTTCATGCCACATTCGATTTGCGGAAGTGATGCATAGCTGGTGCATTACTTTGGAGATTAAACAGGAGATGCTGAATAGCAATGGAGTGAGTCTGATGGATGACTGTCCTAGCCCACGAGAAAGGGACGTCCAGCGGACCTCCATGGGTAGACGAATGTACACTGACCCAAGCGACACTGAAACACGCACTCGCACGCACATACACTCTCAAAGTGTCCAACACATTCCTGACCAACATGAACACAACACTGCCTGACAGCACAGATATTTACTTCTCCATCCTGTATTCAAGTTAGAAAGAAAAAAAAAAACAACACCAACGCTATTTTTTTTTTTTGATCTGGAAGGATAACAGAGTCGTTTGCATACATTAAACCCAGGCCAGCGGACAATTCGATTCCCCCCAGGTTGCAGGGTGGCCGATACTGCATCTGAATGAATGGAGATGGATGTAAAGTGCTTGAGAGCTTTTTGACCAGAGGGAGATGAAGGTGATGGATAGAGAACAAACTGAAGGACAGGAGAGAGGACAGCACTGGGTTTGAAGGGACGCCATTACACTAATCCACAGCAGAGAAACACAAAGAGAGGGAGAGGGGAGGGAAATCTACGTCCAAAATGACTGCACTGACACCATCAACTGTACGTCCTTAAAACGACGTTTTTGTCCTGTTTGGCTCTCTGAGCAAAGGTATATCACAGTCATATCAGTCCTGACCTGATCAGCACCCTCTTGCAAGGCTCTATGGGTGAAGTTTTCTCGTTAGTGTCTTTGTCCCCCTCCCAGACACAGTAACTTTACCCAGGCACCCAGCTCTGGCTGTTATGTGACTGTGGGGGTCCTGCGAAAACCCCCATACCCATTCCCAGGCCAATCCCCATGCCGACACCCTGCGAAAGCGATCCGTCGTAGTTGTAGTCCATTCCCTCGGTAGAGCCCATGAAGTCGTTGAGGAGAATAGATTCCACATCACAGTCCAGACTGCCATGATGGACATCCATCTCCATCTCTGGCTGCTGGAGTCGGCTCGCAGGAGGCTGGTGGTGGCCAGGATGGTGGCTGCTGTGGTAATTCGAATTCTGGGAAGGGTGGTGGTAGTACCCTTGCCAAGGTTCCGTCATGCCCTGGTGGTGATGAGCGCCTGGGTAGGGCTGGTGGCGGGGTTGAGGCGCGGAGGCCAGGTGACAGGGGTCCTGGGGCACATCCATGACGCTGGCAGGATTAGGGGGCAGGGAAGTGGACGGTAGGTGGGCACGAGGGCCGTAAAGATTGGAGGATTTGTGGTTGTAGGGTTGCAGCATATCACTGTTGACCCTGGGAGAGAGGGATGACTGTCTGTGCTGCATATGGCTGTGCATGTGGTTTGCATTCGGGCTGGGGTCAAGCTTATGGTTGTGCTCGTGAGGTTGGCCGTAGTCATGTCTGGGGTGGTGCTTGGCTCCGTGGTTGTAGTCGAGACTTGGGTGGTGCTTGCTGGAATTGTGGTTGTGATGGAGGCTTGAGTTCTGCTCATGGTCATTGTGAAGGCCTTGATTGGGATTGGGATTCTGGCTGTGATTGTGACCGCGGTTCTGATTGTGGCCGTGAGAGTGTACGGCACTGTTAGACTGCGACATTAGAGAATGGGATGTCCCTCCTTGCCCCACCACCAAGTCCTTCCCACAGTACTGTGGCCCGCCAGCTAACAGGCTCTCCAGAGCATTGTTCTCTGAGTAAGCCCTTAGAGAGTGCTGGAAGCTGGTTGGCTTGTTTTCCTGGATGGTCTGCATGGGGGCATGGTGCCTTAGCATGCCCATTGAAGCCTGACCATAGACAGTCCCACAGTAGGAGGTCTCCCCTTTGGGTGCTGGGCCATAATGGTACCCATTGCATTTGAGCTGTGGCGGCTGAGAGAAGCCTTCTTCCAAGCTGATGGCTCCTGTGAGATCTGCCAACTGGGGGAGCTCCACGGAAGGACAGTGGCCCCCAGTGCCCAGGGCAGGTGATCTGGTACTGGTGGGGCTTGGATAGAGATGCGGGGAAGCCGAACATGACAGCCCTCCCTCTTCTGGTTCATCTGGCTCTGCTTCAGCCATGATAGGTGACAGACAGCCACTCAGCGTGGATGCGGAAGAGCTGGTTCTGGAGTGGAGGTCCGTCCAGGCATCAAACTCCTCGCTCCCAACCCCCAAGCCCCCCTTCCCAGCTGGGCTACCATGCTCCGGGGATCCCTGTATCCCTGGTCCGGCGCCGAGCCCTCGGCCCATCCCCCCAGCTCTCTTGCGGCTGATACGACCTCGGCTCTTCAGGTACTTGGTGCCGTTGTCCATGGAGGCGGCTCGCCGGCGAGGGCCTTTGCCCATCTTTCCACCTTCTGGGTTCAGCATCCACCAGGAACTCTTGCCCGTTCCCTCATTCTGCACACGGATGAACCTAGTGTGCAGGGACAGGTTATGGCGAATGGAGTTCTGTGGAGACAATAATAGGGGAGGGAAGAAGGACAAAAGCAGATTGTTAAACATCTCATAGAATAATACAGAAAAACATGTGCATTACAACTCCCAGCCTATTCAGGGGGAACATTAGATAAGACTTCAGAATGATAAGACTTGGACACTTGGTACTTCTGTAAATTTATGGAGGAACTACACTCTTGAAAATAAGGGTGCCAAAAAGTAGTGATGCTACAGAACAGGCATCTTCAAATCTGGACCTTACATCCATTTTTTTTCTGGTTCTGGACTTTTGCTGCAAAATTAATAGTGGCTACTCAAAATCCAACAGCGGAAAATGATTCAAGGTTAGGATTTGAAGCCTTTTGCTACAAAAGGACCACATCTAATTCCCTGAAGAACGTTGTAATAGCTGGTTTCTTAAAAGGATTACACAGGTTGTAACCACTTATCCATGTTCATTTTTGTCAGACTGATCAAAACATCCTTAAAAAAGGGGTTCTTCCAAGGTTCTCAACTACAGTGGTTATATATAGAACCGTGGGCATTCCAAGAACCATCAGACTGCATGGGTAAATGGTTAAATGGAAAACCCATTATATATGGTTCTTATGTAGGTTTCCACTGTTGTTCTCTTTGTGCTAAGTGTGTAAAGTAAGTCAAAGGTATATTTATCCATTATGCATCTTGCACTGGTGATCATTGAAGACGACTCTCATCTCCTGTCTAAATATACAGGAATCATTCGGCGGCAGCTTATCATTCAGAATGAATGCCTGTTCTGGTAAAGCCTGGCAGGCACTGCGAAGCTGCGTGGTGCAGAGAGGGCTGCTCGGGCAGATCGATACGGCAGGCAGTCCTGCTCCTCCACGCTGCACGCTTTCTCTCTCTGACTCACACCACAGCCGACCGAGCCGTGCACACACACACCACAGCCCGCACATCAAACCGTCGCCAAGGTTACCCAAATGAATCACACGTGGCAACATGATCGCAGACGCCCCTATCGATTGCAGGCCTTCGAATAGTAGGGGAAGCCAGTGAGGGAGGCGAGAAAGAGAGAGAAAAAGCGCGAGAGAGAGAGAGAGAGAGAGAGAGAGAGAGAGAGAGAGAGAGAGAGAGAGAGCAGGCGTGATTCTGGCACACTCAATGTGCTGGAAGAACACCAGAACAAAGAAAACAGAAAAGGAGGGGGGGCTATTTTCAATGCCAAGAGAAAGCATATTTAGATCAGAAGGACAGATGCAGTAGATAAATGTGGCTCTTCAGTTTGAAATACATGGCAATACATTCAATTCTGGACAATTGAATAGACCATTTTGATAATTGATAATTATTGATATTTGAATATGTCTATTACATTAGTACATCTCTTTTTATTATTCTGAAGCTTCAACACATTTCAGCAAAGAATTAAAAATAGAACAATGATTGCTAATATATGGTTTAAAAGCTGGTTTTATTAAGCTGGTAGTTTCTTGAAGACTCGCTGCAAATATGCAATGTAAATAATGTATTGCAGATGACTTTCCATAGCAGAAATGACACAATGCAATTTGGCAGACTAGTGACATATAATCAAATGAGTTGAATGCAACTTTGTTTTTTAATTGCCTCATGTAACAAGTTGCACAGAAATGAAATTGCCTGCAACTCTTAACAGGCAACTAGTTGCATGAAAGTTTCACAGGGTAAAGCCGGTCTAAGTGTGTGCTAGAAACCCAAATAAAAAGCATTTCTGTTCCAAGATGCTTCCTTGTCCCATTGTAGTTACAAGGTATCGTATTTAAGGAGAATGAGCGCTTCGTTGTTTGTTTGGAAGAACCAACCAAAAAGGGCTATTTTCAATGCCAAGAGAAAGCATATTTAAATCAGAAGGACAGATGCAGTAGATAAATGTGGCTCTTTGGTTTGCAATATATGCTGATTTTGGATAATTAAATAGACCATAATTACTACATTTGTGACAGTGATAAAGTGATAAGTGATAATTATTAATATTTGAATGTGTTTGTCAAATTAGTGTGTGTCTTTTTATTATCAACAGAACAATGATTGCTAATATATGGCTAAAAAGCTGGTTTTATTAAGCTGGTAGTTTCTTGAAGACTCAAAGACAATAAAAATGCTGCAAATATGCAAATATGAATAACATGTCGTAGATAACTTTCTAAAGTGAAAATGACACAATGCATTAAAAAATACACCCTGATAATTTGGCTGACTAGTGCCATATGATCGAATAAGTTGCATGCAACTTTGTTTTTGAACTGCCTCATGTAACAGGTTGTGCAGAAGTTAAATTGCATGCAACTCATAACATGCAACCAGTTGCATCAAAGTTTCACAGTGTAAAGCCAGCCTATGTGTGTGCTAGCAACCCAAATAAACAGCATTTCTGTTTCTAGATGCTTCCTTTTCCAACATCACATTCATAACATCGTGGTTAGGGTATCGTATTTAAAGAGAATGAGAACTTGGGTGTTGGTTCAGAAGTACCAACAGCTATACAAAGCCTGTAAAATGCTGTTTGTGCCTGCCTAATTAAGATTTCAGGTATATTCCATGCACTGGCTGTGCTTTCATGCAAAGACCTTTGCCAGTCTGATTAAATACATTCTGATTATAGATTAAGACTGCTGTGTTTATATTCTCACTCTACTCAACAATCGGATGGAAAATCTCTGTTTACATGCTCACTACAAGCAATCCGATACATGATTACACGAGTAGAGAACTGCTTAGTGTAGACGTTACCATGACAACCAGCATCACGTGAGTCCAGTCAGAGTGAGATGAGCAGCAGTGAGCAGTGCTTGTGTTTTTAATTGCTTTAAAATTATGTCAGACACAGGAAAACGTCCTTCACATGTCCTTATTAAAGAAGGCCGAGAGGAAGACGTCGTGTTCTGAGACACATAAGCTGGACGTCCGTCCCACCGCCGTCTTTTAAAGACCAGAGCATAAACTTCGTCTCCTCTGCAGACCAGTTTCTGCTCCGCCATGTTGAACGGTATAAACTTTTACTATGACGCGACGAACATGATCAGAACGGACTTAAACTTTCCGATAGGGAATGTAATCGGATACAGGTGTTTATGCGAATATTATTCTTCTTTTTAACGGATTATTTACAGGATTACCCACCTCGATCAGTCGAATAGAAACTGTATTCCGAATGGCCTCAATCGGACTAGACTATTCTGATTGAGATGTTTACATAGATGTACTCTATTCCAATTGAGCTATTAGTTTGATTATTAATGGATTATTAGGCTGCATGTAAGTCAGTGTAAAGACAAGCTACTTTTTTGTGTATTCTTTATATCCTAGAGGTAACAGATCAGCCCCTCATGCTTTATCTTCTTGCCCATACTGTAAAGTAATACTGCAATCTCTATATGTAGCAATATAACTGCCGTATGACATTTATGACACATCATAAAGCCTTAACGACTGGCTAGAGTGACAGGGGAGCTTCTTCTGACATACATTCCAGGCTGACTGGCAGCTCAGAACTGAATGATGTATCTCTTTCACTTCTCTGCAAGCGTGTGTGGATGTGTTACGGAACCCTGCTTTGTTCCTGCTATATCACGTTCTATGTTTTACATACGATTCAGGAAGTTTAACTGATCTGTATCCAGCTCACTATGTCTGTCGCACATCTCCAAACACCATATTCAGGCACATTACAGGCTTCTGACTCCCTCTCTATGAACAACAAGTCATAAGTGTCTCCCATAGCTGCAGCCAATCGCTCTGCATTATTAATATCCACAGTTCATGACGCTGCTGAAGTGGACATCGCAATTATTCTGCTAATAAAACTCTCCGTCCTGCAACACTTGTGGGTAACCACAGCTCTGCCCAGTGAGCAATAGACATTTAAAAGCAGCTGGACACTTAAAGTCAGTGGAAGGTTTGTTTAAGTCGCCGTCAGGATGTAAAAGAACGATTATCAGCATTTTTCAGCTTCACGTCCATCTGCCACATCAGTATCGCCCTGCTGATTATCACGGACAGTAATTTGTCACAACTGAACATCCATTGACTCAAAACTCACTTATAGTACTCTCTTAAAAGAGACGGTTCTTCAAGAGTTCTTTAGTAAAGAAAGTGGTTCTATATAGAACCGTGAACACCCAAAGAACCCTTTGCATGATTAAAGGGTTTATTGTGTCATGAATGCGTTCTTCAGATTAATGTAGAATGTGCTGTTTATAGTTTTCTATAGAACCTTTTTAAAAGGGTACTATATACCACCAAAACGGGTTCTGCTATTGTCACGATTTTAAGCGTGTAACCATAGAAGAACCCTTTTTGTCGCTATATAGCACCATTTTCGAAAAGGTTCCATATAGAACCATCTAGAGCACTTTTCCTATCAATCTGAAGAACACTTTCATGGAAAGGGTTCTTTGAGTGTTCATGGTTCTATATAGAACCATTTTCTTTATGAAATGGTTCTACAGATTGATGCCGTATGTGTTGTATGTGGTTTATACAATATGCTAATATAAAAAGGGTTCTATACAGGACCAAAACGGGTTCTGCTATTCTGACCATAGAAGAATCCTTTTTGGTGCTATATAGACCCATCTTCAAAAAAGATTCCAAATAGAACCATCTACAGCACTTTTTCTATGAATCTGAAGAACACTTTCATAATCTAATCATGCATAGGGTTCTTGGAGTGTTCATGGTTCTATATAGAACCATTTTCCTTATTAAAGAACCCTTCAAGAACCATCTACACTCTTAAAAAAGAAGCTTCCTTAAGGATTCTTTAGAAGCATCTGTGCATGGAGAATGTGTTGTATATGGTTCTTTGTAGAACCTTTATGAAAAGGGTTCTGTTCAGCACCAGAAAGGGTTCTGCTACTGTTAAAAGCCTGACATTGTATATTTTTACATACTGTTCCTTTAAATTGCGTAACTCAAAACAGAAGAGACGTCATATTTGGCTTGTTGGTTTCAGAACACTGATTTCTCATCCTGAGCTCAACGTTTCT